CCTGAGATTGACAAGGGTGTTTCCGGCTGCATCTTTCAGCAAACGACGATGTAGGCTTAATAGTTTACTCTTGACCTGGAAGATGAGGGTGCCATTAATGTCAGACACCTTAAAATCACTGTTGACGGCGAGCTCAACAGGGTACTGTGCCAGGGCCCTATTACCACCACTGGATGCTCCACCGGCGGGTATGTTCTCACAGCTGGAATGGGGTTGCCTGGTGATTGCCCAGTAGCCATAATCACAGAAACAAAATATTACTTGAAGACATAAACCGAAAGAAAAATAGCTAAATTTCTATATTATGCAGGTCTTGATGGTGGTAATAGAAGTAACTGGCAACACAATTTTATTCTTAAAAAATGCAACTTGGAGCATCTTTTGCATTTCATAATGTGAGCTATGAATATAAAATATAACCATATATATCCATTTGTCACCGTTAATGCCGTTAATGACGTTAATGGCCGCGTCCCCATGATCATTCGCATTGATCTCGTTGAGAATCACCACCACAAGCTTCTCCTTGCTTTCTCCTCTAAAAGCCTCCCACCTCCCATGCATGGTCCTTGCCTGGAGAAAATGATAAATTAAACACGCGGTAAGAAATTGATATCGGATTGACTCTTATCGTTGTTGTGATGGTTAGATTGAAAAAGAAGAGAACAAATGACAGAGAGCAATTAAACATACCTTCTTCCTGAGATTGACAAGGGTGTTTCCCGCTGCATCTTTCAGAAAACGACGATTAAGGCTTAATAGTTTAATCTTGACCTGGAAGATGAGGGTGCCATTAATGTCAGACACCTTAAAATCACTGTTGACGGCGAGCTCAACAGGGTACTGTGCCAGGTACTGTGGCCCTATTACCACCACTGGATGCTCTACCGGCTGGTATTTTCTCATAGCTGGAACGGGGTTGAATGGTGCTTGCCCAGTAGCCATAATCACAGAAACAAAATATTACTCGAAGAGATAAACAGAAAGAAAAATAGCTAAATTTCTATGTTATGCAAGTCTTGATGATGGTTATAGAAGTAGTCTTTGCGAGGGATGATGTACGTATTTTATAGTGCCAATGAGCCCTGTATCATGTCCTTAAATAAAACAAAAAAAGGCCCCGTCCTTCTTCCGAAGTTCAATTTTGCGTGTAAACAAAGACTTCGTTTTTTTGGCAGCGAGGGACCCCCCCCCCCCCCCCCCCCCCCCAACAAGTATAGGTACTCCTTTTACAAGTTAAATTCACTTGTCACTGGTAGAGTCACAAGATTACTTTCGCTGGATTTGCTAAATAATGACAGCGCTCCCTTCTATATTTGGGTTTGATTACTTCGTTTGTTGGCGTTTGCACATTTCTTTAAAACCCACTTGCTTTTTTGCTAAAAAAAAATGGTGAACCGTGTCTCATCTGTAAATCATTTCAAGAAGCAAATCAACAATGGCAACACTGTTTTATTCGTAAATAAGGCAACTTGGAGCAACTTTTGCATTTCAAAACGGTGAACCGTGTCTCATCTCATCCCTTCCTCGTCCGTTTCACCACATGGATAAAAAAAGATAATGACAGTAAATTGCAACCAGTGTCTGATCCGCTTCCAGTTGCAGTGGACAGCTTCCCGTTGCAATATGGTGTTAATTAATTATTAAGCTATCCCTTTAGCAGTCAATGTCTCTAGTTTCAAACAAGGCAACCGCCCTATTTACTTTCAAAATAATTAACTAAAAACGTCCCTCTAACACAAAACACTATTCATTGCTATGGTAAGATTATGATTTTGCTCTCTAAGGAAAAATGAGGTGAGTTGATGTTGGGGGATAATACAGTCATTTCCACGATGACTAGTTATTAAAGAATTGTTAGGGGTACAGGTGTCTTTTTACTTTTTAAAAACAATAAAATAACTAATTTATCCTCCAAGTTAAAAAAAATCAGAACAATAAAATGTTTTTTACAGCTTCACTCTTAATAAAACAGTCTTGGCCACTGCGATCTACATTAATTGATGCCATCAAGAAATAGTTGTTTTTCAAATAAATTTTTATATCAAAATATATAAAAAAATAGTTGTTTTTCAAATGAATTTTTATATCAAAATATATGTTAATAATATTTTTTTTATGTTTTAAAAATTAATTTTTATATCAGTATATTAAAATAATTTAAAAATATATTAATTTAATATTAATAAATTTTTTTAAAAATATTTTTAAAATATAAAAATAAACAAATATGATGTGCATTAATCTCGAGGATCTCTCACCTCACCTCTACTTGACTTTTCTTTGCATTTTATTTTAGTTTGACTCACTGATTTTTCTCTTTCTCCTTTTTCCCAGCCCGTCTCTTCCTGGAAATTTCGTTTTCTTTCATTCTTTCGTTCACACACGCGCGCACACACACACACATGTATGTATGTATGTATGTATGGTTAAGGGGTGTTTCTAAGTATTATAAAAATTATTTTTTAAAATATTATTTTTTTATTTAAAAAAAATTATGGACATCAACATATCAAAAAAACTAAAAAACATAAAAAAATTAATTTTAAGTAAAAACATTTTTAAATTTTATTGAAACTCTAATGCAAACGCAATCCCAGAGATCTAAGAATGTGCTTGAGACTTAACTCAAATCATGTTTTTAAAAAAATTTTATTTTTTTTATTATTTTAATGCGCTAATGTCATTTTTTAAAATAAAAATATATTATTTTAATATATTTTAAATAAAAAATACTTTGAAAATCAATATTCATCAAACTCCCAAATAGACCCATGATAGAATAGTTTCTAACTAAGTGACTATATTTAATTTTGCCTAAACTTCTATGTTTTTGATGTATTTTAAAAGTATCTTTTACTTGAAAAAAAAATAAAATTTATATGTTTTTTAGTGTTTTTTAATTATTTTGATGTGTTGATATTAAAAATAAAAAAAATTATTTTGATACATACTCGAGTATACTTTTAAAGTTATTTTGATGTGCTGATGTTAAAAATAAAAATAATAAAAAAATCATTTTAATATATTCTTTAAATAAAAAATACTTTTAAAAATTATTATGCACCAAATACTTTTAAAAATGATTTCCCCCCTAAATTACATTACACAATAACAATTAAAAATAATTAATTTATTTTTTTAAAGAAAACCACTTTAAAAAATCAGAGCTACAACTTAGTTTGGTAACGATAATAGTATGCCTAAAAGGCGAATACGAAAGACTTATTCTTAAAATATAAATAATGTTAAAATCATAAAAACTACATTAATTAAGATAAAAATTATTTTAAATAAGTATTTTCAACTTTACTATCAAACACACAGTAAATTAAATGGGTTTGCACATAGGAATAGAAGAGTGAGAATCTGGTCCCGGCTTTTGCTATTTTTCTTTCAATTTTTAATGTAGAGAGCAAATCTTTTATTTTTATTTTTATGCCCTTTTTGAGTTCTTTTTTTTTTCTTAATTTTATTCGGATAATTTGAAGGTAGGGGTAGAGGCTAGAGGGTGGCTGTGATGAGTTATAAAATAAATAAAAAGTCATGGTAGATCGGACAAAAAAGAGTATTATGTGATTGACAAAATATTATGTATCATCTTGATTTTTGGCACAATAATTATCAATGCATTTATAATTAAAATTTTTGGACTTCAATCCAATGAATTAAAAAAAAATTGGAAAGTAATTAAGTCATATTTAAAAATTTTATTGTCTTGATTAAAACTTTATTTTTATTTTTTAAAATAATATTAATTTAATTAATTCAAGTTAATTCATATTATTTATAACCGTTACGATATAGAATAGGTTTAATATTTTTGAAAATCATAATATATATATAAAAAATCTTTTATTTTTTTGCACGGATAATGATTTAATACTTTTATTTAATAATTTTTTTAAAAATAAATAAAGTATATTTATTAATTATATTTTATAAAATAAAGATTTCTCTTGTTTAATAATACAAAATAAAAATTGCTCAAGACTTCACTTAGTAGATATATATAAAAATAAGAAAGTATTTTTTAAAAACTCCGTTTATAATTTTACCTAAACCCATGTTCACCTTAAGGCTGCGCATAGGCGCTGATTTCCTTATGGTTTTTTAGTGGATGAGAAAAAATCTAAGACGCCATTTGGAATAATTTTTTAATTTATATTATATAAAGTAAGCGTGGACAAAGTTCTTATATAACCTTCGTTTCTTTTCGGACTACTCTTACTAGTTAATGGCAATGATGGAGGCATGCAAGAACATCATTTCTTATTTTTCTATTAGTATTCCTTCATGGAATTATTGACCCCCTGACTAGTGGGGATTTTAAATTGTATTGTCAAACATTTCCTAATAAACATTTGATTTTGTAATCCATGATTTATATATACTAATCTCATTAATTAGCAAGTGATGATGTGTTAGGCTTCCTTTGTAGCCCCTGTATTGAGATTGTCGTTCGGGATAATTTGTTTTGAGATAATAATTGTTTTTTAAATATTTTAAATTTATTAATATATTAAAATAATAAATTTTTTAAAAAATTATTTTTAATATTAGAATATTAAAATTATAATAACAATCAATTAAAAAAACTTTTATCAAAAACACATTAAACTATAGCCCAAACAGGCACTACATATTATATGTAGATAAAGTCTAGAAATAAATACACTATTAAAGTAACCATTTTTCATTAATAAGCCTATAGTTTTTTTTT